TCCGAACCTGTATCAACCATCTAAATCAGGAGCTAGCGGCTCGTGCAGTTTGTGCCTGTGAGGTTTCATGATTTCAAAACTGCTTCCAGACAAAGTGTTGACAGGAAACATTGGCTCAAAGTCAGGAGCAGAGATCCAGACAGAAATGTTGATGGAGCAGAACAATTTGACGATATAGACGACATATATAAGTAAAGGTGCAGGTTTGATGTTTTACCATTTTTTCAAGGTTCTGACCCACACAATAACAGCAGCTGCAGAGAAACGCAGTCAAAAATAAAAGTCTCTGCATCACACACAAACACCAATTAGGGCATAAAAACAGCTAGACAAGAAATCCTGAAAAAGAAACTATAAAGTATGAGCGTGCAGTTTTACTGCCTGGGTACACGTGGGCATGCCTTTAGAAAAATGTCCCTAGCTGACTCCCAAGTCTCCTTGAGGTGACTGCGATAGCGCTCCAACAAGCCACCATAAAACACATCAATCACAGTAGCTAATCTCAGGTTCTTGCTGGCACTTTCATTGTGCAAACTTTTCTATACGGCTGCCTTCACATAATGCCCCGCTCTGCCTGCTGTGACAGGCCAGGAGTTCTGCAGCTGAGAGCCATTCTCCAATGGCATGAAGCAAAGTGTGGCTTAAAGGGCTGATCATCTGGAGGTGAGGCAGGACGGGGGCAATGACCCAGCGTCCAGGGGACCTCAGCCTTGCCTTCAAGATGAATCAAAAATAGTCAAATAAATGGTTCTATGGAGTATATTTTTATACGACGCTTATCCAACACTCAGGGTTTTGAATAGAGAATGTTTGTAGTTTTTGAAACAAGTGTTTTTCTGGAGTGGAATTGAACAGAAAATGCAATGAATGTTTTTAGTGTAAGATATTCAACTGGTTAGGAATTACACTGTGCATAACAAGATATTATTATTATTGTATGACAGAAATGAAAGAAGCAAATTTATCCACAACCAGGTGCGACGGCAGAGCCAGGGGGTGATTAACCTCCGTACACCCCAAGGGCCACCTCAGTCCTTTGAGAAAACAAGACTTTCTAGAAAGCATACGCCAAAAAAAAAAAAAAAAAAAAGGACTTCTGTTCTGAAGCTGAAGAAGTTTCATTTTCCATCTTGGAGGCTTTATCAATTCAAAAATGTCTGGGGTGTGTGGAGTTCCAAGCTTTATAGAAGTGAATGAGAGGCCTCGTTACCAAGCCAAGAATGTAGTAGAGGTGAAAAGAGTGTCAGATGGGCTGATGTGTCTGAAGGTAGAAGTAGAAGGTCTGAAGCTAAATGTTGTCAGTGGTTATGCTGCACAGGTTGGGTGAGATATAGAGGAGATAGAGAAATTTTGGAAGGATCTGAACTTCTATTCTTCTATTTTTCCATCTTAATGTTTTTGTCTTTCCTCCTACAGGAAGTTCACCTGGACCTGCCATTCTGTGTCTGTTTCTACTTCCTGTCCTCTCAAACCAGCCGGTCGAAGCAGATGGCCGCTCGTCCTGAACCTGATTCTGCTGGAGGTTTCTTCCTGTTAAAAAGGGAATTTTTCCTTTCCACTGTCTCCTTTGTGCTTGCTCAGGATGGGAAGCTACGACGAAGTGAAGACCCAACACAATCTGCTGACTGTGGACGAACAAAGGGTACTTCCAGTTCCCCTCGGTGCTCCTCAGTGGTGGTCAATGATAAAAAGATGCTAATTTTAAAACAAATTAGCTAAAATAAAAATTAAAAAAATGAGTAAAACTATGGCCCAATAAAAAAATAGCAAGATATTGTCTAATTTTTTGTGGGAAAAGAAGACATAAAAAAAATTAAAAAAGGACATTTTTTTAAACTTTTGTGCTCTTATCTTCAGTCCTTACAGCTGGTTTTTTTTTTTGCCTTTCAGTTTTTATCACAAGCACAAACAACCCCATGCAAAAATAAACACAGCAATTTTGTGCATGTTGACATTTCATTCTCTGTACCCAGACCACTGCATTCCCAACTGTGAGAAAGACCCTGTTTCTTGAACCGCTGTGCAGATAAACAGCCTCCAAATCAAGTGCTTTTATGGTGCACAGTCATTTTTGATCATGTCCTCCTTTGCTCTCTGTTCTTCTCTGATAGGTACATGCTGTCACCAATGGGTGCCAAACTGTGAGCTTTAACTGCAGCTGGCACGAGGATCTAGTTGAGAACACTGTTTATTTTTGTTGCTATAAAAAGTGGCATTTAGGTATGGAAAACATGCACAAAATCTCTAAGACATGTATGCAGAGAGCTGTCCGCCCCCTCAAACACATGTACTGGCTGCATTAACAGCTCCCTTCTGCTTTCAGAGGGCTGGTTTCTCAAATCAAAAGCGTTTGAGAAATCGATGATGAAAGAGGCTGTGAAATGTGACGAGCTCTGCAGGAACAGGGACGTTCGGCTCAGGAAAGATTAGTCAACAAACAAATCATGGTAAAAGCTTTGGGATTTAACATGTCATGTTAAATGACTGTATTCTAATGTCAAAACCTAAATAAATTATCCCAAGAGAGAGGGCGAAAGAAAAAACAAAACCTAAACACACGTACAAGACTTTCTTCTTCCTACACACAACCACAACCTTACAGCCTCCAGTCTCCCCCAGGTTTCCTCTTCTACACAGGATGCAGTCGACCTGCGTACTCCTGCCTCCACTCTTACAGGTCACTATGCTCCTCCCTCTTTTGGAAATAAGTGTTACTATACTATTACTAATACTATTCTCATCCTGAACATTGCATTGCTGACCTTGTGTTAACCTGCGTATGACAATATGCCATCAAACTGCCATCCACCATCACTGACATCTACACCTCCAGATACAGGAAAAGGGCCACCTGCATCTTGAAGGACCCCACTCACCCAGCACACACACTTTTTGCCCTGCTCCCCTCAGGAAGGAGGTTGAGGAGCTTCAAGTGTAGAACCACTAGACTGAGGAACAGCTTCTACCCTGAAGCTGTTAGACTCATGAATCTCTAACCAGGATAATAACTGTAATTCTACTTGATTGTTGATATGTGCTGCTGACTATCCATGCTGCTGATCTCATGCTGCTGATTTATTTCTTTTTCTAGCCACACCACAATAAAACAGCATAAATCCTGTTCCAATGTTGTGAACCTTGCTGCACTTCTGCTTGGCCTTTTGCACACATAAAACATCTACCTTCCTTCTCTGCATCATGCCAGCCAGCTCTCCACATTTGCCTGCGTTTAGATTTGCTAACCCTCCGTCCAACACTCTTGACTGTCCTCTTTTCCCCCTGTCTCCTAGCATGTTCTCTTCCTTGTGGTTGTTCATACAATTTAAAAAATCTAAACCTGAGGAATGGGCCAACAGTGAAGTCTGGGGTTTCCTCAAAACGACAAGCACCAGAGAAGCAGCTCAGAAAATACCAAGCTCTCCAAGTACAATTCTGATGGACTTTAAAACAAGTAGAAGCTTATCTTCATGTCTGTCATGAAAGAAACTTTAACTGACCACATTTGTTGAGTACCTAAACCTAAACCTTAAAACCAAATCCACTTCTTTAAAACTTTAATAAAGACAATTAGACGAAGAACACGTGTTCTGATTATCCTCAGCTGGACCTTCTTTGGTTGAGGGGGTCTAGTGGTAATCACCAAAACCCAATAAACTCGAGGTTCACAGCGAGTCCTGAAATTCTAACAACAAACCAAGAAATGCCTCAGTATCGAAAAAACCCTCCAGTTATTTTTACAACCTTCACAGTTTACTTCTTAGTCTAAACAAAGAAAACAGAATTGCGTTGACTCCGTACTCCACACACGTTAAATCGTTAGTGATTCAGGGGAACAAGCGAGATGCAAAGAAAGGGTCCAGTTTAGGATGCGATGACTCCATTCATCCATTTCTCAGAACAGCGCCCCCTACGGGCGATTCAGTAAATATCTCAGGGGCCACACAAACAGCAGTTACTGTCATTAAGTTTGTTTTATGTTTAAAATCTAGTTTGATTAAAACATTAACCCATTGTTGAACCGAACTGAGTTCACCTGTGGGCCTGACTTGGCCCCAGGGCCACCAGTTGAATATCCCAGTGCTGCCTCTTCCTCTGCCCCACAACAATTGAATACAGCGTGGGAATAAATTATTTCCTCATAAACCCCACAGAGACATCTACTTTACATAGCGGAACATTTTGACCAAAACATTAAAACGTCTTTAATCTTTGAGAAAATTGTGTCAACTCAAAAAATAAAACTATAGCACTTGGATTAAAAATAAATAAATAAATAAATTTAAAACACCATAAAATTCATTCTGCTGAAGAAAAGAAAAATCAGATTCTCTCTGAGCTGAAAAAAACAACTGAAGCAAATTATTTGATTGATTTGTATGTTTCACCTTTACTGACGTTTTGTTCAACTAATTATCCTTGTTGTCTGTATTTAAATCTAATATCTTAAACGAAACATGTTGAGTAAAAATAAAATGATATATTGAAGCAGATTCACGCAACAGGTTTCGTTTTTTCTTTAAATATGAAGTATTTTTGTTGTTTCAAATTAAACGGGGTTAGACTTTTGTTGATTCTCAACTAAACTGTTGGTTGAACTTATTTTAAATTGCACGTCGAATAAACATCTTTTACTAAGTAAAATAATACGAGCCTTCTTGTCTCAGATTCGTTTTCATCCGTTCAAAAAGAAGTAATACAAAGTATTGTTTGTGTAAAAAGAAATCCATTTGGTTTCATTTAAATGACATTGAGTGGGAGTTATAACTAATTTAATAGAAGAATCAAGGAAAATCACTTTGGCCCACACAATTAATTGACCCTAAAGTATCCATCTACTTGGATATCTTAAATTTACTTTACAATTACAGTAATAACATTTAAGCATCTTTTTAGGTTCATTGAAAAATGTTAATTTATCAGTGCTCAAACAGGTTTGCATGTGAATGTAACTTTATCTTTATCAGCCATTTACATGAAACGTGTTTTAGATGATGTCAGACCTTGGATGGAAACCTTCGGATGCTCTTTCTTCGTGCACTCTGGTTGGCTGAGCGGGTCGAACGGAGGCAGCGCTGGGGTCGTCGGGACAGCCGAGGTCTGCGTGAAAACAGCTGGAAGGAGGAGGAGCAGGAAGAGGCCAGCCATGAACGAGGGGTTGGAGTCCTGTGAGGACGCCGTCATGGTGATGACCTCTCCTCTAGCTGCCAAGGTGGGCCTCCGGGAATAGGCTGGAGATGAGAAGAGACAACTTCAGCACCTCAGTGCAACATTTTTACGCCCGGCTTCAAAGAATCACGGCTCTCCGAGTCACTTCAAAATCATTTCTACCCTGAAAACTGTCAGCTCCTTTGGGCTTACCGCCCTGACTCCGGCACAGAAAGGAACAAAGAATGAAAAATAAAAGACGCAAAAGAAGAGAAATGTAAAAAAGAATCACCACAGAACGAGAACGGATGCTAGATAAGTAAAAGGTGGCTGCAAAGACGAGATAAAAAGCTGAATAAACTCAGAATTGAAAGTACAAGCCAGGAAAATGGAGAGCTGGTGTGAAGGACACAGAACAGAAACTAAATGTCCAGGAAACGCTTCAGCAATGAGGCGTATCAATAAATGACCTCACCTTTGAACTATAACCACCGGAAAAGTGCAAATTAATCTTTGAAAGTTATTTTAATGGCTGATTAAAATATGAAATTGGTTGGATTTTCAGCAAAACGCGTTTCCACGAGTCAGTGAAGCACAAATGAGCTGAGTGGAAATGCGTGGCCCTCGGAAAGTGTTTGCACAGCTTCGATCCCCCCACACTGCCGGCCTCCTGACATTTTTACTGCACATGATACACGGCAGGGCATAAATGACCTCCCATAATTCCCTCAGTATTCAAATCATATGCAAGCAAACCGAGCCAGCAGACACACACACACACACGTCTAGAGACAGCCTCTTAATTTGAGCAAACGTAATCTCCTCCAGTCGGAACGTGTGAATCAACATCGCCGAGCTGAGACCAGCAGTTCATCATCTCCCACCCCGCGCTCCTTACAATGTTAGCTTAGCGACGTGCAATATCGTTAAAGTGGATTAAAAACTGCGAGCATCAACTTTCTGCAGCACTTTGACTCGAGCTGCACCTCTCTGTAGTGTTTCCCAACCAATGCTTTAATCAATAACAAATTATTAGCCTAGTTGAGTTGCAAATCAACCAGTGGCCCGCAATCAATTATCCCACTCACTGTAGCTGCTAACTAATTAGGCGAATGCACGTGGTGCTCGTGTGAGTCGTTACAACACAGCGGCGTGTCGGCTTCAGCCACTGATGAAGAGGTGGAAGCGTTGGGTGCACGGTGACCTGGACGAGATGTGAGACGAGTTTCATGGCTCGCTGTGCAGAAAAAACACGTCTTAAAAAAGGAAACGCTGAAACGATCTGCACCGGCGGATACTTCGGGTTACTGTGGAGCACTTTAAACAGTTAGTATCTAACCTGTTGAACATAGCTCATTAAATTACCCCAGGTGCTCACATTTTCTTATCGTCTACACGTCGCTTGTTTATCTTCCCAACAGCTAAGTTCTCAAGCACAGATAGACTGTCGACCTGTTTGCACATAATGAACGCTCCGTCCATCTACACAAACAATTATCAAACAGGCGGCAGTAGCCAATGAATTTAATTTAATTATTTGATTTAGTCATGGTCGGGTTCTGTCAGGGTCAGCAGCTTTGAATGTTATCAGCCATTAAACGGTCGTTATCATCCCCATGGGTTGGGATCAGACTGTCCCACCTACCTCCTAGTAGGTTTAAAGGTACATTCTTATCGCTGATAATCTGCAGCTTCGCCCACGTCTAAAACCGGAAGCTTTTTTTTAGTTAGCTTTATTTAACCCTTTCCCTAAATCTGACCTTACACCTGACCCAGAGCGCTGACCCTAAACTTAACCCCCTGACCCTATTATCAGCGATAAGAACAAACCTTTAAACCTACTAGGAGGTACAGGAGGGACAGTCAACGCTAACTATGGGGACAATAACAACTAATAACGGCCATTAAATGGCTGATAACACTCAAAGCGGGTGTCAGAGTGAAGTTCAGCCTCAAGTGGAGGAGTTCAAGTATCTCTGGGTTTTGTTCACATGAGGGAAGAATGGAGCGTGAGACTGACAGACGGATTGGTGCAGTGTCTGCAGTATTGCAGACTCTGTTCTGGTCCATTGTGGTGAAGAGGGAGCTGAGTTGTAAGACAAAGCTCTCTGTTCATCAGTCTACGTTCCTCCCTCACCTCTGGTCAGGAACTCTGGGTAGTGACAGAAAGAACGAGATCGTGGATCCAGGAGGTTGAAATGAGTTTCCTCTGCAGGAGCTGGACTCTCCCGTAGAGACAGGGTGAGAAGTTCAGTTATCAGGAGAGAGCCGGAGTAGAACCGCTGCTCCTAAATGTCTCGAGGAGCAAGTTGAGGTGGTTTGGGCATGTCTGACTGGGAGGAGACCCCAGGGAAGACCCAGGACATGATGGAGAGACTACACAGAAAGATCCTGGACTTAAACCTGGGACCTTCTTGCTTTGAAGCAACAGGGATCACTAAGCCAAGGACAGATGTGTTAGTTTTAATCATACAGCTGTGCTTCTGCTGGAGCATGAACTTAAAAATGTCTTTGCTGAAAAGAGCGCTGAGAAAGGGCACAAGTCGTTATTTCACCTGACAAGTTAGGATTAAGTAGAAACTACAAGCAAATGGAAGCTTATACATTAATTTTAACTTTTTCTAGAGAAAGAAAACGATTACATTTATGTAAAATAGTTGAGTAATGGTAAACATTTCATGTAGCATTGTCTAAGAAATATGAATATTAATACTTTCCATTGTTGCACCCTAAAATACACCCCAAAAATAGAGTTTAAATTTTATTTTAAATGTGTCAAGTTCATTTTACGTAATGGGGAAAAAATCGTTTTACCATGTTGGAATAAAAATGTGTGCAGTAGAGTTAAACACACTACTCTTAGAAAACATTGTGCAAATGCAAGTTATAGAAAAACATCTTTTCTGCAGGTTCTGTTGTTATTCTTCACTTTTATTGGGTTCCTGACGTGGGAGTGATATGAAGCATGAGGAGGAATCATTCTATTATAATTTATTCCCCAGATTGCCACAATGTTCCTTAACTTCATTATCTGCCAAATCAGTGTTGACAGGTGATTAATTCACTTTTAATCACTCTGAATGTTAAAGTTTTTTCAGAAGCAGGACTCGGCAGGAGATCGTGACGGATGAGCAGGGTTCAGCTCTAGGTTTGGGTTTGGTCGATAAGGTACAGTAAATTTGCTGTTAACACATGTTCTACGCTGCGAGATGAAAAAGTTCACGTCACAAAAACCCAAAACGCACACAAGCTTCATGTCTGAAACCTGGCAGACTCCATCCATGGGCAGCCGGTCACACTGCATGCTGGGTCACAGCATGTGGGCAGAAGTGATGCATGCTGGGTGCCAACATCAACTCCTGGCTGTGTTTACTTTTGCCTGCGAGCGAGTGGGAACTGGGAAGCATGCCTCTGTTAGGCCACTCCAGTGATGCTCGATGGGGTCCATCCAATTTCCCGTCCTGCTGTGAACAGGATTAGCATTAGTTTGTCAGCAGGAAAGCAGGACGATCTATAACAGCAAAGAAACTGTGTGCAAACACACACAGACATGCAGATGCTTCCAAACCCTCACTAAGCCTCTGTTTACCCATCACAAGTGTTGAATAAAGACACTCTGTTAAGAACGGGCTACCTGTGCGCCACTGAGCTAATAGATGTGGCCAACACCTGTGAGATCAGATATAAACCTGATGAACTCCTACTGTGGATTTCCTATTTGGAAAATAATAGTACATACAACTAAAACCATACCATCAAAAAGTAAATATGTATGCTCAACCTCATGTTTGCCTGCACACTTGCTCAAGTTGGCACCATGTAAGGCAAGTTGATCTATCATTTAATCAAATTTACGTTTTAATATATCAATTTTAGCCTATCTCCTGCTCAAAAAAAATATTTTTAAAGCTAAACATACATTTGGTTCAGGTTTATTTGTCATATGCAAATCCACAAGGTCAACAATGCAATGAAATGCAGAGGACGACAAGAATCGTCTCGACTCACTTAAAAAACAACAAATGTCAAATAATGCAACAATAAAAAACAAGGCACCAAGAGTGAAAAAGAAATGCATCTACAGCAGAATGGTCCATTAGCAGAGTGGTTCTGCTGGCACCGTGGTTCTTAGTAGCATGGTTCTGTTAGTAGAGTGGTGTTGTTAGCACCATGGTCTCATTAGCAGCATGGTTCTTAGTTGCATGGTTCTGTTAGCAGCGTGGTTCTGTTAGCAGCATGGTTCTGTTAGCAGCGTGGTTCTGTTAGCAGCGTGGTTCTGTTAGCAGCATGGTTCTGTTAGCAGCGTGGTTCTGTTAGCAGTGTGGTCCTGTTAGAGGCATGATGATAATATCGACTGCAGCCATGGATGATGACCGCCCTCCGGTCCGGCAGACACAGATCATCCAAGGTTTCCCTGCCGAACCGAACTGTTTTGTAGAATTTGTTCCGTGCAGGGAGATGGAGGATCATGGAGACGGCTGCCATGACAGGCCGGAGTCCGAGCCTGAGGCGAGAAGGGTGCCGGGAACGGAACCACGATGGCACAATGGCAAGGTGGCGACACACAAAACTCCAAAAGTGTGTCGTGGTCATAGCCGTAGCGTGGGTGTACAGTGTAGATGCAAAAAGAGTTAAAACAACCGGAACAAATAAAGAGCGAGTCAAGCAGAGCTCCTGTTAGTGCTGCGCACATGCAAATGCCTTTTTTTATGTTTGTTTTTATCGCCTATTTGGTTTAGTTATATTTGTATTTACAAGTTAAATGTTTAAAAGGGAAAATGTTAATGGTTAAAATGAAAAGAGATCGTTTTTAAATTGCCCCTTTGAAAAAACCAAACCCAAACACTGATGTCAGTGACCGGTGGTCGACATGTTTGTCCAGTTGCCGAACACACACACCGTCTCATCTGGGAGTGTAATGTAAACACATTTTGACTTAAATGATGGTAAAAACACAAAGTGCTGCATGTCCTGTTAAAACCTCTTTGAGAACAACTTGTAAACATCTCACACAAACAACAACCCTTTCTTTTCCT